TCCTGGCTGAACCCAGCACACTAGCACATGGGGCTCCCCAGCTGGAGGGATGCTGGGCTATGCCTGCAGTCTGCTGGCAGAGACACCCCTGGGCGAGGAGACATCCATGTCTCACTCCAGGCTTTCTTTGGTCAGGGGTTTCTAAGTTGAAGTGCACAAACCACAGGCATGAGAACCCGAGAATGAAGTTCAAAAGGCCACCGGCAGCTTTAGAAGTGTGGAGTCGTAGTGAAGCTGCTGCAGCAAAGCCAGGCTTAGAGCAGGATGAAACGGTTCAATGGAAGCGGGGTAGCTCCAACCCAAATCTGCCCTTCCTCGGCAGGGATGCCGGAAAGTGTTCCTTGTCCAAGCGCAGGGGCCAAGCCCCACGTCCCTGGCAGCAGAGTAGCCTTTCTGCCTTCTGAATTGCAGCGATGCAAGCGCGGGGCGAGAGTAAGTCTCGATAGCACTGGTTCACGAAGGGTCAAACTGCCACGCAGCTAATCCCCTGATTTATGAGGAAACTGTTCTTCCTTCTCCCATTCCATCGCCGCTGATGGAAGATCAGCAGGCAGGACAAGCAACACATCGTAGATTCATAGGCTTACACAGACATTTCATGAACAGCAGAGAAAGGACGAAATGCAAAATAACCCCAAACTGGCTCCAAGTTGTTGATTTATCCTGCTTTCTCAGGGCCTGCTTGCCAAGCAGCTGGTGCTTTGTGCCAGTTGCCATTACAGAAGAGCTTTCTTTGATAGGTATCATGAATGGACACTACGCAGTTTATCTTTAAACAAAATCCCTCCCCACAGCTTACACGGGCTGGAAGGGGCTGAGAGAGAGAAAAGGTTGGGCTTTGTTGGTTTTTTTTTTTAATGCAGGGCTGTGGAAGAACATTTGGGGGAGCCTGCATGATCCGTGCAAAAACACAACAGATGAATTCTATTAATGGATGTAACATGTGGCAGGGTTCAAGCTAGAGTTGTCATTTGAATATAGAAGTCAACGCCAATTTATTGTAACATATTTTTCTTTTCAAAATATTTTAAGAAAGACAAAAAAGTTTGCGCAACAACTTGGCAAGCAGGTCTGTTGAGAGGAGGTATTTTCTATCTTGCAGCTAACATAAGGGCTGAAAAATGTGGCAGTGCCGAGCAATCCTGGATTCCTTCTGGAACTGAAAGAAAGTGTGCAGGATATAATTGTGTAAGAGCCCAATAAATTTTGAAGGGTGGGTTTGTAACACTGCCTTGGGGGCTGCAGGTGGCTCCAGAAGAAAGTCACGGGTTTTATTTCAGTCAGAGACATCAAATACTTTATCTAGCCAGCTACGCACCCATGTGGCCCCATCTAAAAGCCACAGAATTATTTTAAAATAGAAATACCCATAACAATCACTGTGTTTCTTCCATGCCAGATGGTAGAAAGATAAGTTGGATTAGTCTGGGGAGTGTGTATGTGTGTTATTATGGAGAGAGGGAGTTACAAAAGCTAAGGCACAGAAATGAGCTTTCCTATGGTTTGCAGAGCCATGAGCATCAGTGCTCCGTGGTCTTCCGAGCACGGGTTGGCTGTGCCTGGCCAGTTCTTGTTTCATTGTTGGTCAGTCCATGTGTCCCTGGATGCCATGGGAGGCGATGGCGATGGAGCAGAGCTTTACTTAGGTAGTAGACCAGACCCTGGCATTGGCATCTCAGCATTGAGAGAGCCGCTGCATTACAGGGAACATCAGACTCCAGATGTGGATTCCTGTGTTGCGGCGCAAAACTGCTGCTGCATATTAGGTTACAGAGAATTACGTGGTTAGGTTCCTACAGTGAACTGCAGCAAAGTGGAGTCAGAGAACTGATATTTCTCAGGACTGCTGTGACCTCTCCAGGGTATCCTATTTTCTTTGTAGCTGGGCAGCTAAGGAATACCTGGCTATCAAGTGATCCAACATAGGCTGAGTACTTTTGTGTGTGGACTGAGAAAGCTTGTTCTGACATTTGATAAAGGACCAAGTGCCAAACACTGGTGGAGCAAGTACACAGAAAACATATTGCTGCCAAGGGAAACCATGGCTGCAAGAAAACGAGCAGCATATTGTCATCCCATGTTCGTTCTCATCCTGTATGTGCATGGTTTGAGTCCCCTAGTACCTTCCCCATTGCCTTCTGAGATGACTTTTTGCCATCCCTTCCTCATGAAGCTGCACATGGGGAAGAGGAAGCAGATCTAGATCCATAGCGAAGGCCAGTGAGACCCTAAAGTGCTCTTCGAAGTCCTGTGCAGTTAGACATTTGTTTTACTAACATTTGTTTTACTAAGGATGCTATTCAACTCTAAGCCTGTTTTAATCCTGCCACTAACGGGAGTCAATTAGTAATCTCTGAGAGATTGCTCATGTCAGGGAGGTGGTGGGATGAATGGAAGTGTCACCACTCCCCCCACTGCGAAGTAACAACTTACCGCTTCTGTATTTTCTAAGAATAGATGCCACTTCTAGCGATGAGTCTGTAACTTCTCGCTGCTGCTCACCAGATGGCAGGAACCAGCAGGCGCCGAGTGTGTTCCCCTGTGGTCAAACAAACTGCCACACGGCCCGATGCAACTTTCCTGAAAGATCCCCAGGACAGCTCCGTTACTTCTGTTGAGCTGGTTTCCCAAGCTCCTGGTACAACATTGAGGTTTTCCACTGGAACCACCTGGCACATTTTCAGAGCCTTCCATGAGCAATGAAGTTACTCAATCCCCTTCTTAGTTTGTCAAAGCCTTTGTATCGGTCACTTGTCCTGAGAATCTGCGGGCTGTGTCCTGTACTTGAGCTAATTGCATAAAAAGGATTATTTCCTTCTCTTGATGCTTGTTATTATTTTCATCCTTCACGAGCCATTTCTTCTGTTTCAGGATCAACACTCTGTGGTAGGCCAGGGAGCTGGCCCCACTCCAAGCTCCAGTTCTTGCTCAAATCCAAACACTGGAAGTGGTTACATGAACTCATCCCAGCAATCAATGTTGAATCAGCAACTGATGGAAAAGAAACAGGCTCTGCAACGGCAAATGATGGAGCAAAAACAACTCCTTCTACAGCAGCAGATGTTGGCAGAAGCCGTAAGTTTTCTAATTCCTTATTTTACATGGAAAAGGTCATAGAAACAATAGAAAAGAAAGCTAAGACAGGGCAAGAGAGCCCCAAAAACATCGAGGTTATTTTGGCAATGCCTAAATCTTCTGGAGCATGCCTCATATTTTTCAGCACTTTGCTAAGCCCTTCTGAAACCTTCTTCAGTTTATATGAAACAATTCAAGTATCCGAGCTACTGTGGTTTCATTATGAGAGAAGTCTAAGCATATCCTTAATTTGAGGCATATGAATACTGTCAGTGGCTTTCTTTGCTGAGGTGCAGTGCTGTGCTACTTTGACCACAGAGGAAAGCTGATTTCCAGGCTCTGGAATCCAGGCAGCATGGTATAAAGTGACTGTGTGTAAACAAGGGTCAGGAACATCGATTTTAGTGTTCAAAACAAGTTTGCTTGGTTGGGATAGAATCATAGAATGGTTTGGGTTGGAAGGGACCTTAAAGACCATCCAGTTCCAACCCCCCTGCCATGGGCAGGGACACCTTCCACTAGACCAGGTTGCTCAAAGCCTCATCCAGCCTGGCCTTGAACACTTCCAGGGATGGGGCATCCACAGCTTCTCTGGGAAACCTGTTCCAGTGCCTCACCACCCTCTCCATGAAGAATTTCTTATTGATATCTAATGTAAATCTACCCTCTTTCAATTTAAAGCCATTACCACTTGTCCTAACAATTCACCATTCCTTGGTAGCCCTGCTTGCCAAAGCACAGAGAATACAGAAGCCCTGGAAGAGGAGTGGAGCTTGGCATATCCGTGGGGCAAGCAGAAGGCAACACAGGTGCCTTGCAGCAATTAGAGAAGGGCTGCAGGGACGATTCTGGGGAAGGATGGAGGTGAGACTACCACCTGCTCTGCTTCCCCAGGCTGCAATGACAGCAGACCCCAAGCCTGTGGCTTATTTCCCTCAAGCTTCATTGCTCAGCCTACAAGGCAGACCCATTCATGCCACCCTGACATTTTGGTTCCAAAACTTTCTTGTCTCAATAAAGATGCAGACTCAGAAATACTGACACATTTAGTGAATGTCATTCAGTAACTAAAGAACAACACAGAAGTGGAAACACATTCATGGTTTTGTGGGGATGTTTTTTAAAAAAGCCCTCATTTTTTTATAGAGAATATCTTTTTGTTCACACATTTATTTCCATTCCAAAAATACAATTAGAAAGCTTGAGTTTGAAATGAAGGATTTCATTTGTCCTATGAGGGAAATATTTGTTGACTTTTTAATTTATGCAGAAGAAAACTGAAGCTTCAAGTCAGCTCAAAACATTGCAGTTTTCTGTCAGAATTTCTAGCAGAACAGAAAGTTAATTGCTCATGTAACTTTTCTTAAAAATTAGTAAAATAAAAATCAAAATCACTCTACAGAATGCATTTTTTTGATCAGCTTGCATTTGCTTTTGTATTGTGTTCATAGAAATACACACAAAGCCTTCCTACAGTTTTCACATGTATTGTAGGAATATCCTGGGACATAACTTGTCCTTTTGATTCACAAGGGTTCAGCCTTGAATGAGCCTTATAAATCTTATTCAGACCCCTCACTCCCAGGGTGCATATGGAAATGCCCAACTGCAGCAAGGAAGGCTCTTCTCCCAGTGTTTTAAAGTGTTCCTGGCAGAAGAAAACACAAATTTTTCACAAGGAGGTCCGTTTGCATGCTATTTACAGGAAGAAGATGCCCAAATTACTCAGACATCCAACACCAGACAAGGTCTGACCCTTTTTCGCACTGACGAGCCAATTTGCCATTCTAGCAGCCGAGCACGAAACCCAGGCATGTTGCAGAGGAAGGGTGAGGCCTGTCCAGCACTTGCCCAGTAAGCACAGCTCCTGGAGGCACATGTGCACTAGCACTGACTTATCCGTGACTGAGCTGGTCAAATCCGCATTGTCCTGCCATGGGGCCATGCATCCTGAGGAGTCGTTGCTTACAGGCAGGCAGTAACACCCTGAAAACATCAACTCACGCTGATGCTGATGCGAGGTTTGAACACTTCCAGGGATGGGGCATCCACAGCTTCTCTGGGAAACCTGTTCCAGTGCCTCACCACCCTCTCCATGAAGAACTTCTTCCTGCTATCTAACCTAAATCTCCCCGCTTTCAATTTAAACCCATTACCCCTTGTCCTATCACTACAGACCCTTGTAAAAAGTCCCCCCCAGCTTCCTTGTAGCCCCTTCAGGTACTGGAAGGCTGCAATAAGGTCTCCCTGGAGCCTTCTCTTCTCCAGGCTGAACAAGCCCAACTCTCTCAGCCTGTCCCCATAGCAGAGGTGCTCCAGCCCTCTGAGCATCTTTAGGGCCTCCTCTGGACTCGCTCCAACTGGTCTATATCCTTCTGATGTTGAGGGCTCCACAGCTGGACGCAGCACTCCAGGTGGGGTCTCACAAGAGCAGAGTAGAGAGGGAGAATCCCCTACCTCAACCCGCTGGCCCTGGTGACCATTGATTGAAACAGGCTGGTGACCACTGATGCGGCCAAGGGGCAGGTGTTGGGACCCTCATTGCTCCCTAGCTGCATCCCAGCTGAGTGTTTGAGTTAGACCTGGGTGTTTGCCCTGTCTCTGTGCTTTCTCTGAAAGCACACCCAGTCGCACAGGCGACAGGAAGCCGTGAGGAACCATCAGACCCCTCTGCCTGATGAGCAAAGCAGTGTGGATGTCAGAAGACACTTTGTACTGCACTGCAGACGTGGCCGATGTTTGCAGAGGCTCAGCAACTCACAGTGATTTTAAGGAAAGTTAGACCAGACTCAAACACACTACAACTAGCAGAAAGGTGGCGGTACAGACTGCAGTGGGTGATGGCCCTGGTTCACAGCTGCCTCTTCTGTGGACCAGACAGGGTGAAAGGAAGAACACTTCAGCTCTGTACGTACTGAGGAAAGAAAGAGTTGGATGAAACACAGAAGAAAGCATAAAGAAAACCAAATCAATGTATTTTTATTCTCATCCTCCAGGAGAAGATCACTCCACAAGATCAGCTGAACAGACACTTGACACGACCCCCACCAGATTATAAAGACCAAAGAAGGAACGTGGTCAATATGCAACAAGCAAACCAATATCCTGGTAAGTGCCCATGTACTAATGAAAATCCTTTCTTCCTCCCATTCCTTCCTTCCTTCCTTCCTCCCTTCCTCCCTTCCTCCCTTCCTTCCTCCCTTCCTCCCTTCCTTCCTTCCTCTTGCGTCAGAGACTGAGATGAGAACCTTCCATCCCTTTGAGCAGCAGCTCATGTACAGCATGAGGACCCACGTACTGATTTTTAGGAATCTTTTATGACACCATCATGGGCAACCAGAGCGATCAGCTGAACATTTGGTGTTTCATACGTCATGGCCCTGGCCTCAGCGCTGCTCTACAAGTAGCGTTTCAACAGCTCAGTTAAACAGTAGGGTAAAAGCCCCTGATTTCTGCCAGAACTGCCTCAGGCACAGAATGCCCAGCACTTCAGGACTAGGCCTTTGGTTTAGCTCTTGTGCCCTCACCTCCTTGGAAAGCCTAGTTTTGGGAGCACAGGACTGCCCGTTTGGCTTTTCATGCTGTTCACCTTGCTGGTTAGCTGGAGTCTGCTCTGAGAGCAAAGACAGGGTAAAGAAAAGGTGCTGGGGAGAGAGAGGAGATGGGGGGAAATGCAGCAGATGGGATCAAAGGGTGCTCTTTATACTGCAAAGTGTCTGTTCATTTACGTATGAAAAGGATCCTTTGCCTTCTAGGATACCTTTATATGCACCACTGAGGAAAAAAAAAAGATGTTTAGTTTGGTTTTCCATAACGGTTGGCTCTGCAGATCTGAGTCTTTCCAGCGATCTGAGTCTTTCCTTCCTACCTGATCTTTGTATCAAAACATTTTCAGCTTCTGTTACATTTTTAATGGGTTCCCAAGTGCAGCTTGCTCACACAACAGCCCCCTGCCCGACCTGCTGGCCATGGCACCAGCTACATGTGGAAGAGCCCGGCTGAGCTGCTCAGGCAATGTTCATGGATTCCTTTGTTTTGTTTACAAGTTCTAGCAATGATAATCTTGCTGCAGTCTGGAAACTGCTGCTTTCCAACGGGCCTGAGTGTTTATCATCTTCAGTGAATGTGCACCAGCATCACCAATGCCAGCATAATAACCCACGGTGGGGGCGATGCCACAGGGCAGAGCGCCCTGCCTGCTGGCTTGGTGCCTCCTGCGCCCGTAAAACAAATGCCTTGGCATCCCCGGCAGTTTGCTGGGGAACCCTGTGATTTGGTCTGTTCTTTAAAGGCTCGTTCCTGGAATCAAATGATTAACTGAGATTCTTGGCTTTTACTGAAAACCAAACGATTTCTAGCCTGAGCGAGAAAATGGAAATCACTGCAGCCACATCTGTGAAAGGCCCCAAAATAAGGAGATCGCCATTGTTATGTGGGGCTCCTTGTTCTTAATCTGATGGATGCTTTGCCAATCTCGTGGTATTTGGAAGTCCCATCTCCTGGGTTTGAAACATGTGGGATTGGCAGCACTTGTCCATTCAAATCTCAAGTCCCTGCTGAGTGAGCCCAGGGAGGAGAGCAGCTTTTCAGGCGAGCCTGGGAGAAAGGGCCGTGCTGGGAGCCTGCAGCAAAGCTACCAGATGGAGCGATTAGGAAACTCTTGCATAAGGGAGTAACAGCAGGGAATCCGTTCCCTTTTTCTGGGAATAGCTTTGCTCAGGTCAGGGATGAAGAGACAAAACATTAAATAAAAGAACACAGGGGCTTGTAGATACATGGTTAAGCATTTTATTCCCCTGCGCTTTTCCCCGTAGTGCCATGTAACAGCAAGAAACCCCCAAGGCAAGAGCAGGTGAATGGGGCAGTGAGGGCGTTTCTCCAAATCGCCGCAGCCTGAGGTGCCCAGCTGCTGTGCACAGCGTTGCCGGGGAAGACATTTCTTCCCATCTGGAAGAAATCAGAATGGAAAATATTTGCGTTAAAAATAAGAGGATAAAAATAGCAATACAAAGAAAGAGGAAGCCTCGTCTTTTGCACAAGTACAACCCATGTCCCGACCACTTGTGCTCTTTAAGAAGCGTGGCATTTGCAGGAGCAGGGCGGTGGGAGCCCGAGGGGTGCTCAACGGCCGCAAGGTCACCCCGGGAGGGGCTTCATCCCAGCAACAAGTGAAGTGACTCCCCAAACTTGGAGTTCAGCTGGAGGGAGAGAACCAGCTCTCCCCAGATGGCTGTTCCAGGTCTTTGGAAATGCCACCGATTTCTGTGCCGTTCCTTCTCTTCTGTAGCAGCATAAGGGAGCAAAGGATCAGAGCCTCCATCTCTATCACCCCTGCGGAGAGCTGTTACAGTATTTCCAAAAAAGCAGTGAGCAACGCACAATCCACCAGCAAAGCCAAGGACGAGGCTAATCGTGAGGTTGCCTGCTGAGCACTGATTCTCTCCTCTTCGTTTCCAGAGCTAAATTCAGTTAGGTGGCTCCCTGGGAGCACATGGAAAGGAATCTGCTTGTACCTGTGGGTGTAAAACCAGGTGGATTTCTCAAGGCATCTCTCGTCCCAGGGGCTGCCCAGCTTGGGGAATGAAGTTAAGTGCCTAAGTCAGGACAACGTGATTGTTAGAACAATTAAATTCTCTATAGTCTAATGCCTCCTGCTTAGAGCCAGTCTGTGGAAAAGCATGGCTGCCAGGGCAAGGTGATCTTAATTTAGGTATCTATGTTTATATTGATTTGGAACAAGAAACTCGGGTTGTGTAGTCACACTCAATGTTGATAATGATTTGGGAGGAGGTTATTTTTAAGTATTTAAGGAAAAAAGGAATCCTTTGCACCCATTACTAAATGGAAATAGCATATGCATAAAAATAAGGCAGAAAAGGCAGAAATATATGATAATGTTTTCTTCGGTTCCAGTCTGAGGGAACTGATGATCATTATGGTGAAATTCCAGCAGGAACAGTATATTAAACAGCTGTTCCTAAACATAGACTTTTTAAATATGTATGCACATGATTTGTCTTCAAGAGTTTTAAAAGAGCTGGCTGAGATGTTCTCCAAATTCTTAATGTCACTTTTTATTTAGTCTTGAAACTCCCAAGGAAGACTGCTAATGCCATGACAAAAATTAAAAGAGTAAGTAGGTAATTACAGTGCTAGTGACCTAATGCAGAGCTCAGCAAAAATTCTGGGGAGCTGATACAGCCTGAATAATAAAGAATTCAGGAAGGGAGTATAATTAATGTCAGGCAACATGGGCTGACGCAGAAGAATCTTTTCAAACTAGCATAGTAATTTTGCAATGAAGACACAACTTTGGTTGATAAAGGTAATAGTTTTTCACGTAATGTCTTTTAAAGCATCTGACTTTGTACTTGCCTATTTTGATTAACAAACCAGAGTGATACAAAATTAACATGGCACATAAGGAAATGGCTGATAAGTCTCCAGACATCACTGTAAGCAGGCTGTGTGATTGCAGCGGAAAGGACATAGACAGTCTGAGATGGTGCTGAACAAAAGAAAAGCTTACTTTACAGCCATGCTGGAGATGTGCAAGAGCTATTACTGGGAGCAGCTGTGATGTACAGCCTTGAAATCAAAGGTTGAAAACTGTTAAGTTTTGAAAAGACCTTAGAAGGAATGGAGGACTGGAAAACAGGCCTTCATTACACCAAGACTGATGTATGGGAAAAACGCTGCAGGCACGGTCACAGCCTTGAAGCACCTGTGTAGTAAGAATGAGATTGATAGTGGACCAACTAATAAAATTAATCACACAGACTGATATTTAATAAGATTTGATGACAAAATTAGACAAATTCAGCCTGGTTTTGTTGTACGTACAAAGGATCAAACCAAGGCAGTGTCCCATATCCAATAATTGCTACTAGTTGCTACCTAGGCAATATCAAAACTCCAGGGATACGTGTTCCTCTGTTCCTTCTCTGAGAGAGGCTCAGAGAATTCCCAAAATGCCGTGGTAGCTTGATAGCAAGGCCATTCAACAGCTTTTCACATAGTGTGGGAGCCACCCAAAGTAGTACAAGCATTTAGCTCGTCCAGCACTGAGATTTCCTCAGCTGACCTGATGTTGTGTGGAGAAACTTCTCCTTTCATTTGCCTTGAATCTGACTTCTAGCAGCACTTCTTGGAGGGCTTGTACTGGAAGCAACAGTAGCGAAGGAAATTAAGCGATGGAGCAGCTAATTATGTGCAGAGAGGGGGATTCTCCACGGTGCCATCTACAGTGGGTGTTTTTAGGAAACGTTTCGTCTTCTTCAACCAATCACTCAGGGATTGATGCAGAGCCTTGCATTGCATAAGCCATCAGCCTATGTTCCATAAATGACATTCTGGCTTCAGGGTAGGCACAAATCTGCCACAGAAGTGAGCTTTTGTCAAGGTTTGGAGGCTGAAGAGAAGGGAAACCTCTCTTCTTGTGACTCATTGGTACACTCCAGGTACAGGAAAATCCTTCACTGCGCAGCATTAGCCATGAATGGTAGATCACTCATACTGCCAACTCGTCACTTGCAGGATTCTGATGCCAGTGTGCAGCAAACATCTGCACATCAGGTATTGTGTGGCTCCCACATCGGAAAGTCAGCTTCTGCAGGGCAAACGGCCATAGCCCAGCTGGGAATAGGGCTTAGAGGGGGTGCATAGGTGGCACTCGCCAGGCACAACACCGGGCCATCTCTTCGTGCCTGCTTGGCCACCACGCAGGAGGACAAGCAGGTCACAGCCTGGGCTGAGTTGCTCTCCCAGCACCTGGCTGGGGGGGAGGCTCTGAGTGCTGCAAACGTGTGAGATGCAGTTGTGGCTCCTGCTCTCGGGGACAGGAATTTCCAAAGGGGAAGATACCACTGCTGTAGGGGTCTAAGAAAAGTGGGGAAGGGGCCTGATGATGGTGCCTATCACTCCCTTTTTCCTCAAGAGGGAGGCAGGATGAGCCATGCCCTGTAAGGAAGAAAAGTTCTTCATCTCCTCTGCCTCTGCTCACTTAGACAGGCTTTGTCCTGTCTGAGGTGTGTAGTGTTTTTGTAAAAAAAGGCAGAAATGTCTTCTTTCCTGCCCAGTGGTTCTGTCTATCCTTCCCTGGTCCACTATTTCCCTTACAATGAGCACTGTTTGTGGCTTATCTGATGTTCTCTGAAGGGATGGAAAGACCACCAATGGCTCCATACAGACCAAACCCCCCTTTGGATGACAGGAATCTTTAAGGCCTTGAGCAAGTTTGCACAAGTCCTCTTAAAAGCAAAGAATCTTCTTCAAGAAATTCTGCTGCTCAAAAACTTGGTGTTTAACCTGTTGGTACTTGAATGATGCCATGCACTGATGCACTCACGTTTGTTTTAACACTTTCATTTTCTCATCTCCAGGTGGTTCACCAGCTGTGAGTATGAGCTCCAACAACATGTCCTTATCCAACCCAATTTCAACTCACAGCATCATGCCCCAGAGCTCCAGCCTCATGTCCACCCCCACTGGGACCCGAATGCCTTCTGTTCCTGCTGCTCGGAGTATGGGCTGCTACGGGAACCTTCCTTGCAACCAACCAAGCGCATACAATGTGACTTCAGGAATGAACCAAATGCAGCCACACAGAAACCAAAATCAAGTCCTGCCCAGTCAGAATAACCCTATGATGTCTCGACAGCAAACCATGACACAGGGAAACAACGTAGCGGCTTTTGGGACGGGGTCGGTGGTCAACTCGCAGCAAGTAAGGCCAAGCTTGAACCATGGAGCCACAGGTATCCCCACGCAAAGGCCAGCCAATGTGATGATCACGGCTACTGCCACTGCCCAGAACTGGGCCACGCAAGAAGCTGCAGTGAAGCAGCAAGATGCACTGAAACAAACAGGAGTCCGTTTCCCCGCTGGCACTCCATATCCTAACCAGTCTTTGCAACGCAGTGTAGGCAACCAGCATTTTCCTCAGCGTGCATTGGCACCTCCTAACCAGTTGACAGCGGGAGTCCAAATGAGGCCTCCTCCAAACCAAATGCAGCAGACTCTAAATGGACAATCTGCCGGCTCACTACGAGGTCTCAGCATAAGACCCAACCAGCTAAGAGGACAGACTGTGCCTACCTTGAATCAGCCAGGAACAAGTATGACTCCTCCGTCATCTCTGCCGTCAACCAGTTTCACATCTACCAACCAAAATTCTCGTGCTTACCAAGGAAGTGACCACAGTAATGACCTTGCGTTTGATTTTCTGAACCAACAAGGTGACAGTATAGGACCTGCCCTCAACAGTGACTCAGACTTTATAGATTCTCTACTGAAGACGGAACCTGGTAACGATGACTGGATGAAAGACATCAACCTTGATGAAATTTTGGGGAACCACTCGTAAGTGACAGTACCAAGGGTGAAACAGTTGAAGAGGCAGTAAGGACATCAGCTTTCTCTTTGGACGCCAACAACCTGCTTTATTAATTTACTCTCCAGTAACTGGGCTGTCCTTTCAGATACCATGTAGGGCGACTGCCCCATTGGAAGAATTGCTCTAAGAACAAAATTGAAGTCTCCCCCAATGAAACGATAACGTAAGTGATATTCATGCTGCCACAAAGGAGTGAGGACACGTGAAGGATCTGTTCCCCACGTCGGTGCCCAGCACATTACAAAACCATCAGTTCTTTTCACAGGGGCTGCATGGAAAAACGTGTTTAGCTTCCCACACACACAACAGTATGGGTTGTGGAACATCATTTCTCTGAGTGCAGGCGGTCCAGAGTTCTTCAGTCATCATGTTTGCAGCCCTTAACTTCCTTGGGACTATTCAGCCCTGGCAGCATCAGGCCCTGTGTAAATCTCATTGTGTTAAAAAAACTGTTTACTTCTACACAGAACAAACTCACGTTTGCTTTCCTGATGATTTTGGTTTAAACGCTTTATGTTCTGTAGCACATGAAAGAGAAAGCAGTCTCATCCAAGGGAAGAAGGAAACAGACCATCCGGTGCATTATTCAATGTGCTCTAGTGTTTGCTTCTCCCTTTCATCAGTGCTTGCAGCGAATTCAGAGGATGCTGCTGTCCTGCCAGCAGCACAGTCATTTTGGGCATTGAGGGAAACTTGAGATGAACTACACCAAAGCTCAGTATCCTTGCTTTGCCACCTTGCCCTACCCCAGGGACTCCAGTGACTTATCGGACAACTTAAGTGGGAAGGGTGCTCACAATTTGACCCTCACTGACTACTTTCCCAGTCCAGCTTAGAGGAGGGCCAATGCGTAACGTGGCTCAGCAAAGCCACTATCCTCATTTTCATCTTAACCCACAGCGTGTGTCAGGTAGTTCAGCCCGGTCTTCTTCTATCAAACAGGTTTACCCCAGCAGAAATACTTGTGTCTCTCTCTTGGGAGAGGCTACCGTTTCAAATGCAGAGCATTTTGACTCCATCCCGCTTTCCCATAGGTCTCCTTTGCCATATGGGGGGATTTGAAAGAGGTCCAATGATGGCCCAGGTTCCCACGACCTCCATCGGGCAGACTACAAGAGTGCTGACCCTTAAACTAGTGTGCAGATCAGTTGTAACCACCTGGGTTACTCACAGTAGGAGGTTCCACTTGGCCGCATCTGTGCTTGCAAATGAAACAGATTTTGGGGAATACTTCTGGGCACTGGACTCAATCATCTGTTCTGGGTTTGGGAATAGCCCAACTAACACTGCCCTGAGCAATTTCTGTGCATCACTAGGGAATTAACCTGGGGCAAGGACCATTCCCATAGGCAGTTTGCAGCCACCTTGCCTTGAAGACTAACAGAGTGGAGCAGTAAGGATACAGGTTGTTCAACACGTTTGACCTCAGCGCCAGGGAATAGTCTCAACCATGTTTAATTTTATGCTATACACTTGGTCAGTGAGGCTATCAGAAGGAGGTGCTATGTCACTATAAAGCAGCTCCGCAGTGAGTCAGACAGCAGGATTCATAGATGGGAACAGATCTTGCAATTCAAATTAAAATGCTGCTCTTTAAATTGATGTGGTGAGACGTGTTTCACAGCCTCCTCAGAATTAGTTAAAGCTAGATGTGGCAAAGGAATACAATGCCTACATTCACATGCCTCGGTGCCGAGAGGCATTTCTCTGCCCTGTGCAAGTGCTTTATTCATCCTTGTTAGTGGCAGGGGGATGAGCAGACTACTTGACAATAGCCTCTGCACTTATCTGACCTATTTCTCAAGAGAGTTTTTAATAAGGCTTTTCCAGTCATTTCACCCTGTCATTTCAAGCGGGCACAATTTTTCATGATGTTTCAAGAAGCATCGTCACACACACCGGCACCAGCACCTCCAGGAAAGGTGTAACATGGGCATGTAGCTAGATGTGCCAGCTGAGGTGGGCTGGTCCATGATGCTGCTCATTCCCAGACACGTTTTTCGTAAGAGGGACAAGAAAGACTGCTGAAGAGTCTCTTCTGCTGCCCCAGCTAGTGATTGTTGCACACCCCTGCATTGCGTCATGTAGGCTCAGTTCACCAGAAAGCTCCCTATTCTCCCCAGTTTTGGCTGGGGTGCATGTGGTCCCTTTGATATGCCAATACAAATTTTTTCCATGTCTTTAAAGAGGTTTTCAGGTGCCCCACATGTTTGGAGTTTGGAGAGACACAGGCGCGGTCTAACAAATGTGTCCCCTATGAACTGTGCAAAACTAGACAGAAATGGTAGGTACATGAGTGTAAAGTGGAGGGAGGATTGGCTCATCTGTCTCACGCACAGGCACACACCCCGGCCACGAGCAGGTCAGCAGTGACTGCCGAAGATCTGGTTGGAACAGACGACTGCGATGCCACCAAGGCCGGGGCTGGGTTAATATTATCATGAGCAATGGGTGCTGAAGTCTGGTAGTATCAACTACCCTCACATGACATTGAAAAAGCCACCACTGGTTTCTGCATTAAGACCAGATTGTTTTCTAGATCCTCAAGTGATGTAAAAAGATAGTTCAGCTGAGGAGCTGGTCCCAAGGCTTCAGGATATTGTCCGTTGGTGGATTCAGTGCTGAGCTTTGTCCTGTTGGACTCAGCCTGGAGTGGAGAAGACACTGGGCTGTGAGTGCCGTCCATGAGGTCAAAATTACATCCTGACTTAAGTAAATTCAACAGTGGTAGAGGCCATTCGCAGTCCTGTAAAGATACGCCTGATGCATTTGAAATGTGAGCTTGTGAAAGACTCTTGCAACCAAAACTTGAATCCAGTATCATTTCTTCAGAACACTTGTACCTGAACGGAGCTAGTGTCTTTGTTCTCTTTCCTTGCAATGGCTAAGTGCACTACCCTTATAGTCTATTTTTCATCACTGACCGGGCACTCTTCGCAGTATTGGGTTGTAAATATAAAGAATTATTTGTTTTGTAAACTTTTGTAAAAAAAACCAAAACAACAAAAAACACCAAAAAGTAATAATATTTTGGTAGGAATAATAAAAATCATATTATTTGGGTTATATTTATACATATGTGAAATAAATATACTATCAAAAAGTTGTATTTTATACAAAAAGTCAACGGTTACCTTTTGTATTCTATATACAAAGTTTTGTATGATACGATTGTTTATTTTTATCTGCAGACTTCAACTTTGGATTTTGGGGGAGGGCAGAATGGGATCGTGGTTAAATAGCTGGGTCTGACCCCAAGCTCACTGAAACCAATGGAGTCTTTCCATTGCCTTCACAGGGCTTTGAATCAAGCCTTTAAATAACCTTCAGATCTGTTCAACATCTGAAGCTCTCTGGAAACCTCAACATGAAAACATTCCAGGTTTCAATTTTTTTCCCTGAAAAAAAAAGGCTTTTATTATTATTATTATTGTTATTGTTATTATTATTGTAACTCTTGGGAGGCAGGTGGGACCTATGTAACTGTCATGTCCTTGTTGCATGTATGTCTGCTTTATATTTTCCCCATATTATAAACCAGTGTTTCTCTATACAGACTGAAAGGAAAAGTTGCTGTACAGAAATGTTTGTGTTTATGCATTTTTACATGTGGCTGTATATACCTCCTAGTACTATGCAGTGACACTTATTTGACTCCATTTATTTTTCACCTAAACATGAATAGTATGTTTTTTCAGTAGCTATCAAAACTCTGCCAAGTAAATCAATCAAAATTATCCCGAGTGTCTGCTTTCTTAAAGTGAATTTTATAATGAATGTCTGTTCAGTCAACTGCTCGTTCGTCTGAGTAAATTAAAATTACAGTGATATTTTAGAAGGGGGTGAGAAAAATGTGCATCTGGCAGCTTCTGGGAGCTCAGTCTGCCTCT